ATTCATTTCAATTAATTACTCACGGCTTCTTTCTTCCCTCCCTCTGCCTTCTTTTTCTGCTATTTAAACAGTATTAATTGCATGTCAACGTGATCAGGACAACAGTATAATTTCTAATCAGATTCGACATTTACCGACAGGACGTCGTGTCGTACAGCGGAATAGCGGACAACCGTTCGCCCTTTTTTCCCCGATAACGTGTAAGGAATGCACCCTCATCGACACACCCCAAAATGCTAAACCTACATAAATAGGCACCTGTTCGTACATTTGTTGCCACTCACGTCGTTATTCTCTTTCGGATCAGCGAATGTTTAACCAAGTGCTCGACGATATCCTACAAGCTTTATTCACCTTTTGAAGTCATCTAGCGTAAGATGGGTAAGCTTTGGCAACCAACTTACTGTATAACTCATGCTACTTGCTGCCTGCCACACTGACGTATCTATACAAAAATTTGTTCAAAACCAGTGGCGTACCTAATTATAGGTAAGTTGAGACAAAAAAGGCCAGACCCTGACATTATTCAAACTGGGAAAAAACTTAAACTTTTGGGTTGCTCAGAGATAATTTTTGGAGAATTTTAGAGTTAATATGACATGTTTCAATTTTGTATATGAAACTAAACAATAGTTTCTACGAATAATTAATTGTTTCAGCCTTTAATTTATGGAATTCGAGATTCATATTGAATATTAAAATAATTAATTAAATAATTCACAAACCACTGAATATTTTTTCAATCATGGCAAGTGTTTAACCCTACCAGCGGGCATTTTCAGAAGAAGTGATGATTTTAGTATCACATTTTAAGTTATAAAAGGACAAAAGGACGTGTGGGTGTACTACAAGCTTAAGATTCGTTGTTATAAATGTCAAACATAAAAATTTCATGAAATTGGGGCCGCCTGAAGTCGAAATCACACCAAATTGTGCCACTATATTTTACCTAACGTAAATAAAACAAAAAAAATATTGCAGCGGTCGGGAATCGACCTCGGGCTGTAACTGATTTTAGACAAAACATCCTTATACTTATTCTTCGATTTTTAATTAAATAAATATTGCTTCACAATGTTGTTTATGTTTTGTTTTATTTTTTTATCTTTCAGTGATTACAATAGAAGCAGAAACTGCATCAACGCAAAGTCGTAATGAACATTTTTAACATTTGTTTGCGTTCTACATTTATAAAATTTTTATTCCCATATGAACATAAAATGAATAAATACGTACACTGCTCATAGTGTCTGTCATATCGGCCGTATTTTACATATTAATGTAATTAAACAATCATGTTTCTCAATCCACTCATACTCCAAAGATTTTATCAAAACAATCTGGCAAGAGGAGGCAATAAGAGCATTAATTGCGAAAGGGAATAATAGAAATGCTCTTGAAACATTAATGGTAACTCGATTAAGTAGCAAACAGTTTTTGCTTCGGCTCATGAGTCGTCACCGTAAAAAGCGAGCGCGAACGCGAACGCCGGGCGTATACGTTGGGTACGGAGCCGTAGTCAGTCGGGCTGCAAATCTATTCATATTAAATGAAGCCCACTAGCTGCGGCAGCGCTTTTCCTTGAATAAATAAAGAACTTTTATACTCCCAGGCGCCATTGCCGATGTGCCAGGGTTTTGACGGCCCGCTCATAATGCCGTTCATCCACTATTTACTGCATATTACCCAAATAATTTCCAAAACGTCCTTATTTTCATATTCTAAACGCGATTGGCAGAATATTGCATAACACTCGCGGCCATTAGTACAAAAATTACACTTTGAAAAGTACTTTATAAAAAATGTACAAAGGTTTTTACATTTGTAAATTCATTATCACTAATACTAAAGTGACCATACGTCCCGGATTTCCACCTTGCGTCCCGGATTTTTCTAGAAGCAATATTTGTCCCGGATTCAGGTTTTTTGTCCCGGATTGTCCCGAATTTTTGAAAAGGTTCTTATTTTCAATATTTATTTTAAATATATTTCAACTAGAATTATTTTTACAAAATTTGAACCGAAAAAATTGTGCATATCAAAATACGCGGCACGCTTTAAACCACTTGAAGCATACAGTGAACTCTCGATTCTGCGAATCCCCTTCCACCTAACGTTCAGAGACACGATTATAAATATGAAGAGATCTCCTTAGCCATCAGGTTTTTTCAGCTTNAAATTATTAAAAAAATCATATTTAAGTAATTTAACTTAACTACCCTGTCCCGGATTTGAAATAAAAAAATATGGCCACCTTACTAATACGGATCTCCACAACTTTCTATCCTGAGCTAATTTTGACATTTCCCTGACACTAGAACATCACATATCCTTAACTATTTGTGAAGAGTAATTTAATCTAGATCTACTTCTACTCCTCTTAACTCCTCTTTCTGCTTCTAATATGTCTTTAACTAGCCCTTCTTACCTGAGAAGGTGTCCTACCAACCTATCCTGCCTATTGTTTTCTTACTCTTCTAATAATATCTCATTTTTCCGTAAGACCACATTTTGAATGCTTTTAACCTTTTCTTTTCCACCACATCTACGTTTTGCACCCGTACAGAACGTGTTCCAAACACCTTCAACAGTCATTTTCGAATTTCTATATAAATTAACCGTTCGCGGGCATAGAAGTGACTTAATTCTTTCTGTTGAAGGCGATTCGACCCTGCGCAATAGTTTGTTTTATATTTTTATTTGTCCTTCCATCCTGAATTTTCAAAAGTACGTAGTGGTCTGCAAAGCGAAGGCACTGTTTTCTTTTCAAAAATTAACACTATTATTTTACATAATACATTTTTTACTCAATACTGGATTCCCTTTCTTTTACGTTTAAGATTTTGTTGCGATATTATTACGATGATATCGAGTAAATTATTTAATTTCCATTTCTCTGTACTCTCCCCTTTTTCAAGTAGTTTTACAGACATTTGATGCTTATTGAAACGAAGGTCAAGTACCTATAATGGGGTTCACTAATCACGTGTACAACGTGGCAAAATTGGTAGCAGATGCTACATAGATGGTCCGTTTGCATTAATTCCTGCCAAATCCGACACCGATAGATAAGCTTTAATGAGAACAAACCCCATCCCCACCCACATCCATACCCGTAGCTCCGTCCCGATATGATGCGCTCTTGTCTATATGTAGTTTGCGATCATAAGCGGTTTTGTATCGCGGTAATGAGCTAAGGGAAGATCACTATTAATATTATTTGGGCGACACTTTGCGAGGCATTAATGAAGTCCCCGGTGGGGTATTGTCGACGCGTCATATTTTAACCAAGTCCGCCGGGACGCCACGTCATCCGATAAATTGGTTCGGCGGCGCCGTTGTCGTCAACTACCGACCGACGCTCGTCGCGTTACATCGAGATGCCGACGCCTTTTGTACAAGAGACAGCGGGCGGTAAAAAGCGACCAATTTGACGGTACGACGACAAGGACGATGCGGCGCGACAGATACCATGTTAACGCGATTCGTTGGCTTATGGTGTTTAAAAGAACAACCTGGGCGGAAACCGGGAAAGCCAACTTTTACACTTATCTTACCTTATCGCAACGCTTCTTTTATAACTGTTTTCATACGATTAAGGTCAATTACTTCATATTAATATTAAATTAAAGAATGACATTATTGTTACATGGAGATCTATATATATATATAAAATAAAGTCGTCTTAGTTACACCATTTATAACTCAAGAACGGCTGAACCGATTTGACTGAAAATTGGTGGGAAGGTAGCTTACAACCGGGAGAAGGACATAGGATACTTTTTATCACGTTCCACGGGAAAAACGTGGTATATGTAAACGCAACTGACATGGAATGACAAAACGAAATTGACAGCAAAACGAAAAATTTATAAATCAAATCATCAGTCTAGCCGTTCATTTGTTAAAAATGGTATAACAAAACGCAACTGACAGCTAAACGTAATGCTGTCTAGGTTAAGTATGGTGTTTTATTTATAGTCAGATTTATCTGAAACTTGGCTTTAATATGCTTTTTCATATAAAATTAGTGATGTACATACCTATTTCAACATTTTACAAAATTCTACTTCTTTAGGAAGCTGAAAGGGGTTTGCAAAAATTGCATGTTTGTTTTTGGTTCGATTTACTTGAAATTGGTTAAAAAATTCAATCTTTGTTGGGGGGGATGAGTGATGAAGAGGAGTTGCAATGTTTAAATGGAACATATATTATTTGTGGTCAGATTTACTTGAAACTTTGTTTTAATGGTCTCTCATTTAATTTCTGAAAGATCTATATCGACAATTTAAAAAAGGGAAAGATGTTTCAATTTTTGTTTGGGACATATTTTATTTATGGTTGAATTTACTTGAAAGGTGGTATATTTGCTGTTTGATATTATTAATCAAATGAAAAGAGGTTGCAACGTTTCCGTGGGGTATATTTTATTTGTACTCGGATTTACTCGAAGGATGCTCATTGCTGAAGTTAAGCAAATACGTGTTTTGGCAATTTTTAAAAATCAACCCTTAAGGATGAAATGTTGTTGCTACGTTTGTATTTGAAAGATGGCGATATTACACAAAATTAAAACGTTGTAAGGGTGAATTGGGAGCTAAAAGGTTTTACGGAGAAAGAATATTAATTTCTGCGAGCGAAGCCGCGGGGAAAACCTAGTTAATTGATATATACGATTATTTCGCGAATTATGTTTTATACATGTGTGTACAAATCAAATAAAAGTACCTTTCAAAAATACCCATATATTTTTGACAGCTAAACCTTAAATAAATCGTCTTATTGCTTACCTTAATATGCTAGATTAATGTTTGGGCAATAATTTTTTCACACTACTACTAGCGTTCATAAAACACCAATCCTTACACAATAACCGCAAAAGCATGTTCGGCATGATCCGTAATGTTATAAACTTGCAATTACAATAACTATCATGTAAACGTGATGACAAACAAAGTAACTGACAAACATAACCTCATTCGTAATGAGTTCGAAATGTCACTGCTGCTGCAAAAATCCATTTTCGGCGTACAGTTTGAAGTCACTATTTCTTTATCAACAACCGAAAGACCATGAAAAAGGAAAGCGGGGATAAAAACGTGTCACGCTATTTCACGTGCAATGGGGTTAACGCGACTCATATTAGATTTGTGTACTCTGTGGACGACGTCGCGCAACGTGACTTGCCCAGTTACAAGCCAACCCATTGCCACCAAGTGTACAATTCCGACGAAACAATATTCGGATATCGCAGTTTGTCCGTCGATATTTACTACAACGCACTCACGATGAACTGTTTACTCGACATTCGATATTTGAAGAAAGTGAAAGAAGACGCTCATACAAAAGCAGACAACATAGAGAAGATGCTGAGTCCTTGGTTACCGAAGGGATATACTAAAGATAAGAAAAAATTCGTAACAAAAATGCAAAAACAGAACTCTAAGTTGCTAGGAGTCGTTCGAGAGAGTTTTCGAAAAAATATAGCTGGCCGAGGAAGATGCGACTTCAAAATTACAGAAATTGATACAAACGACCCGGATTTTCGGGATTTACATCAAAGATTCCAGAGTGTTATAGTTTGGTACATTGATGCCGCGAGTTTCATAGATCTCAGTGATCCCAAGTGGTTGATCTTCTACCTGTACGAGTACAGAAATCGTGAATATTATCCAGTGGGATTTTGCACGATCTATCAGTTCTACAAACATCCTGGAAAGATAAGAGCACGAATTTCGCAATTCCTGATTCTGCCTTCACATCAAAGGGCAGGATTGGGAACAAGACTTCTCAAAGCAGTGTATAGAACATTTTGGGAACGACAAAATATCGCAGACATAACAGTGGAAGATCCATCCCTGGGATTCCAACGGATGAGGGACATTGTGGACTGTAACCTGTTGTGTGAACTTTACCAATTTAGCAATTTGTACGTGTTGAAGCACACGTTTTGTAGAAATACCGCCGAAAGTGCCGAAAACAGGTACAAGATATGCTTTCAACAGTGTAGAAGGATCTATGAGATATTGAATTTGTGTTACGCGGGTAATAGGCCCAAATTTTTAACGGAATGGTGTAGAAGAGTTAAGCAAAGACTGAAATGGCCATACGAGCGAGACATGCGCGTTTTTAAAAGGAAAAATTTCGGTTTTTACCACAAATCTTTACTGAATCAGAGACCGCTCTATGCGAAACCGTCAGAAGTTATCGACAAGCAGTTTAAGAAGTATCTTGATGAGATATTTCCAATTGTACTCAAATTAGAGAAGATGAACGGGGGTGAAGTTGTTAAGTATCCAAGTGTAGTAAGAAGAATCTGGACTAGAATGCTGTAAACTGATTATGGGAATCAATACATATTTACAATTTCTTTTCGTTTTTACACATGTGTAGAATTTTATTATAAATAATTTATGATTACGATAAAAAGACATAACTAGAGTGTAATGCACAAGTATTATCTAATAATAAAACGTGCAGAGTTTTTTGCCTATTTTTTCCAAAGATCCAATTTTTGATGCTTGAATCAAATGAAATAAAATTGTGTATCTCGTAATGACCATACCGTCTGCCGATAGTATTAACAGGAGGTAGACAGTTTGGTTTCAGTATGGATGTCAATTTGTCAAAAATTCGACGATCTCCTCATGATTACACCATAAATCAGGAACCAGACAATTTGGTATATTGTCATAGTTTCCGTATCAGTTTGAATTCGTTAAAAATTCAATGATCTCGTCATGACTACACCACAAATCAAGTGACATACAGTTTGGTATATTGTAATCGTATTGGTATTGGTTTGAATTCGTCAGAAATTCGACGATCCCTAACCCTAAATTAGAAGGCAGATCGTTTGGTATATTGTAATAACTTTGGTATCGGTTTGAATTAGTCAAAAATTCAATGATCGTCATGACTACACCACAAATCAAGTGACATACAGTTTGGTATATTGTAATCGTATTGGTATTGGTTTGAATTCGTCAGAAATTCGACGATCCCTAACCCTAAATTAGAAGGCAGATCGTTTGGTATATTCTAATAACTTTGGTATCGGTTTGAATTAGTCAAAAATTCAATGATCTCATCATGACTACATCGCAAACCAGGTGACATACACTTTGATATATTGTAATCGTATTGGTGTCGGTTTGAATTCGTCAAAAACTCGACGATCTCGTCATGATTACACATTCCGTCGATCGTCAAAATTTTGGAAAGTTGAAATTGATATCGAAGCCGTATAAGGTATAACAAATAAACATGTCTGCCTCGTAGTTTATATCATCTCGCTGATAAATATAACCTGCCTATTTTATGGGCAGACGGTATTTAAGTATTATGGATCGATTTGATTTAAGCAACAGAATTTTGGATCATCGGAAACCGCCAGACAATAACTGAGGGTCGAACTAATTTCTTTTTTCAATTTTCCTTTTTAAAAAAAGGACAGACGGTATAAAGTACGTGAGACATCTCTTATACAAATAGATAATGGGTTTGACCAAGTTTATAAAATAAAATTCAACAGTCCTGCATACGATTTTATTGCAGTTTAATAAATAATTTTTTGTTTTACGATATGATTATGTCAAATGTAAAAGGTCAAATCGTTAATAATTACGCAATTACAAAACAAATAGATGTTATTAGCTGGGTAATAACGGTATACAATTGTTTAGCGTGTCGACTAGGATCCCGCAGGACCCTGGGGTGTACTGTACGTAATTTATTAATAGATGGCATTAGAGTCACCATGCGTATGTCATTTATTTCGTCCATTGTTGTTCCGAACAAAAGAACGGGGAAGAACCTTATTACCGCCACCGTTACTACTGCTGGTTTAATAATGTGTAGCTGATCGTCCTGGATACGCACACAAACACAAATACCGTATCCCTTACTATTCGATTCGATCCGATTGATGCATGGATTAGGCTCCCTAATTGCGTTTTGTCGACATTATTTACGTTAATCATCGGCAAGTCTAACGTTTATGTAGACCCGTTTAAACTGTATTTATATAAATACTTTTGCAAAACCACAGGCCCGTTCGAAAAAAAAATTAATTTGTAAACCAAAATAAATTTGTATTTTAAAAAAAGGTATAGCAGGGTAAGAGATCAAAATCGGCCTCTAAAGGAACGTAAATATCTTAATGGGCTTTTAAAAGGCCATATTGAAATATAGTCCTTGCTAAGTTTTTAGCCCCTTTCTAAATTGAAAGAAATATAGGTACAGGCCGGACGAAGGAAGCTGGCGAACGGTCGCGCAGGTATTTGCCCATTTATGACCTATTTGGGTAAGTCACTCGAAACCGATACACAAATAAGCTTTCATCTAAAGCTTTATACATAAAACTGCCTACTTTTGCCACCGCGCATCCAGGCCATTTTAAAATTTCCGCCAGCTTCCAGCGTCAGGCCTGTACACAATTTAACTTCAAAGAATCTGAAAAAATTATGGCGTTATAGTTTTATATCAAGGTCTGTAATTTTTTGCAGTCAAGAAAAGTTTTCAATTTTTTATTGAATTTTTAGGTAATGAAACCAAAAGTTGACTACCTTTTGAAATACACATTTGGCTGATATAAGTCCCAAAAACAAGTTTAAAATCCTCTAGAAACACAATAATAAAGAAAATGAAGTGTATTTGTTTGAAATTTTTATCTATTCTTAGATTGAAAGATTTCTTATCATATTTTGTGTTCACATTTTTGAAGGTGCTGCAGATTAAAATCGTTATTCGCAAAAAAAACAATAAAAGATGTATTTTAGTTGCTGGCCAATTTATGGGTCTCTAACCAAAATATTTGAAAAAAGTCATAGACATTAAAATAAATTAAATCTAAAATAAATCTGATGGTACTATAAACTTAACAGGGAGTATATTTCAATATGACCTTTTGATTACAGATAAGAATATTGGGTGCAGGTTTTGACCTATTATCCTGTATAAGGAAAAATGTTATTAGGCAAGCAGGCAATATCTCACATTATAAATTGAAGCGAATATGTTTTGGTTAAGTATACTGAATAGGGAAAACAGGGTGTTTGGAGTATATTGTTGCTTTATCTTTCGTCTTTGTATCGAATTCATAGCCACGAGCGCTCTCAGCTTGCGGTTGCAATTCCTCCGGCGAACCTTTTATAAATTCCCACTCAGTCGAAGCCGCCGCTAGTGCATGTCGGGAATTAATTCAACGACAAAGACGACTACTTTCCTAATGGTGATTCTTTCCTGTTTATGCATATACATATACCCCCATCTAGGGATTCGCCCCAATTCAAAAGGAATTGTCGCAAAGATACAAATTTAGAAAATATATAACGTATCCTACCTATAAAGGTAATAAAGAACCAATTACACCCAATTACACTGGGGCGGACAATTGTATATATTTTTTGTAGATATTTCTTAAGCATTCTTTTTCATTATTTTACTTCAAATTCATTTCATTTCAAATATTATTTCATTTCAATTTCTTATCTTGTAAATACTTTGGTTTCCTTTCAATCTAAACTCTATTGTTCTCTCAATCACTTTTACCCAGAATTCCAACTTCAACCATACCTGCATGCGCTCCCATACTAATATCTNTGTTCTAGTTTTAGGGAAATGCGAAGTTTAGCTCAGGATAGGAAAGAGTGGAGGTACGTGTCCAACCAGTCTTAGGACTGATGACCTTATGATGATGATTTCTTAAGCATTCTTTTTCATTATTTTACTTCAAATTCATTTCATTTCAAATATTATTTCAATTCATTTCAATTTTTTATCTTGTACATACTTTGGTTTCCTTTCAATCTAAACTATTGTTCTTTCAATCACTTTTACCTGGAAATCCAACTTCAACTATACCTGCATGCACTCCCATACTAATATCTGGTTTTACCCTTAATTGCTTTCTCTTGAACTCTATACTGCTTAATTCTACGTATTCCTACAAACTAGTGTCTTCACCCTCTCTCTCACTACTTTTTCTTCTAGAACCTTCTATCAAATCTACTAACAACCCTGTCCTATAAATACTCTCAAAAATTCATATCTCAACACAGTCTACCGTCTTCCGTCTACTGCTACCATTTGTAAGTGTTCCTGCTTTTATCTTCTCTGTTTTATTGTTGTTGTCTTTGTTATTGTTACTGTTTTGTTATCTTGTTCTTTTTGTCACTTTGTTCTCGTTTGTATGTTTCACTCCTTGTGCCTTTTTGTTACTTGTAATTTCGTTGTTATTGTTATAAATTGTTATTTGTTAATCTTAGTGTTTTCTTGGTATTTGATTAGTATTAAAACCAAAAGACACTAAAACACCATTTTTACTATCTTTACCATTAGTTATTTCTGATTGCCGATTTTAGGAAAGAGTGGACGTGCGTATCCAACCAGTCTTAGGACTGATGATGTCACATCCTCGCCGGGAAACGAACCCGGGACTGGTTTGAATGACAATAGGAACAACGACAAATCGTACTTCCTAGGTCACAGATCTGTCGAACTAATGTAATTATGTTAATACTATATATACGAAACATTTTGGCATTTAATAGTGGTTAATACCAAATATTAATGACAAATTCATTTTCAATTTTTTGGCAACTACCTCTGGCTGATGAGGGAGTCTAGTAGCTTAATAGTCAAAGCATTGGTGTGTAAAGCCAAAGGTCTCGGGTTCGATTTCCGCCCAGGGTGTGACAACAGCAACAAATTTTCGGTCATTAACTTGAGGTAGTTTATAATCGGTAAAAAAATAAAAATGAATTTCACATTAATATTTGATATTAACCACTATATTGAATGTCAAAGTATTTCATATATATAATGTAATTGTGAGATCCCGAGTACAAATGAAATAAGGGTAATCCTAATAGATATTCGGACCGGATCAGGCTCTAGTAGAGAAGCTGTATTAGGGGATATTTACGCTTGGATCCTGTCAGGTAGCAAAAGGGCTTCCGTATTACGAAAATCCTTGGTTATTCCTATAGGGTCCTAACTTGTTTTCCTTATCATAGTACTATATGGAACCCTAGGTAAATGTCTAAATGATGGGTTGGGGTAAGGGATCGAAAGAAGAGGTCTCCCCCACCACTGTACCATAAAAAGTTCGTGGCGATCTCACTCCCATAAAAAGTTGTGGGGGGTAGATGATGGCCCCCCACCCCCGAAGGAGGTAGGGGGGATCGAAAGAGGGTAGTCATGTAAGTAAAACCCCATAAAAAATTTGCGGCGGTATCATAAATACCCATAAAAAGTTATGGGGGTTGAAAGATGATTATTTTGACAATTTTCATACACTATAATTCAAATAAAATTAAATAAAAAAATTATTTTCAAGTGGGTGGAGGTGGGGGATTGAAAGAGGGTGGTCACTTGAACAAAACCCGATAACCTAACAAAACCTAACCTAACTTACCCTATTGATAAA